TGCAGAACTTTATTTTTTGTTTGTTGTAAATTAAAGGAGGGCGAAGGGGGTTTCAAAAATTTTTCAAAATCTGAATGCACAGTTGCGAAGAGTATGAAATACACTACAACTTTCGTACAAACTATTTTTGCATATGCCTCGTATTTTAAAAAATGCACGCTAAAGATAAAAATGATTTTTTTTTCGAGAGGTGGTTTCACCCCCTCAGACTGGAACTTCCGCACGAACAAAAAATGTAGTTTTGCATTATGGATAAACTATTTTATTTCCACACAAAGTTTCATAATTTCTCGAATTTCCCAGTTCCCCGTGTTTCCTTGTTAGTACGAGTGAGCGTTCCAGCCGATTAAACTTGTATGTTGAAATTCACTCCTCAACTCTGAGCGAACATATTCACTCGACGATGCAGAGCGGGGAATTCATGCTCGGTATGAGCGAGAAATCGAGTTCGAACTCGAGTCGACTCCGCGGCAACTCCGCTTTTCGAGTTCCGCTTTTCGAGCGGAACTTCGCTGCGAGATGGTCAGAGACTTTGTACGCGACTCACCCTGACTTTATCGACCGTATCGCCGATTTTTCCAACGCAATTAATCGCACCACGTGGACGACTCGGAAGGAGACGCGGTCAACGTTCAATGTCTTAACCCTTTAACGCCTACTGGTAACTATAGTTACCAGAAACGCATTTAAGAATCCATAATCCATTAATCAAAAAAGGAGATATTTTCGTTTTCTTCGCACCACTGTAAAGGTGAATTCTTCTTCTAAAAAATGATATATAGATTGTATGTAGATTCGGTTTAGTCTGTTTTTAGCTCAGTTTTAATGATAACATGTTTTGTCAAATTCCAAGTAGGCATAGTTAGCATCGTTACTGACATCTCGAAGTGCACTACAAATAAATAGATTGGTATCTGTTATAATTTTATACATTTGGAAGCCTTCTCAGATGCAAAATGTGAAATTAAAAGAATACAGAAATTCAAAATGGCGAATCCAATATAGTGGAAGATCAAGAAATCGACCTATTTTCGTGAAACCTGGTGAAACCTACAGTTTTTTATGCGGCGAAAAATGAAGGGACGATTGACTATCTAAATGGTGATCTATAAGACATTCTTCTGAAATAGTAAGCTCGACGCTCTGAATGATAAACTTCGCTCACAAATATAGTAAAGTTTCGGCTCAAAAATGTCAAGCTGACTATCAGAATTACGTCGTATAAATTACCCTTCATTTTCCTCTGTATAAAAAAAAACCAAACTAACGAAACCAACAAACGAAAAGCGGGAACTTCATGTACTCATTTATTCAGAAGGCAGTTTTTCGCAGATATAAAATTCTGATATTTTTTCTTGGTTATCACTACTTATAGTCTCAGTTGAAAAAAACTCAAATTTTATTCTTGAGACACTTATAAAAAATTAAAGGGCGTTAAAGGGTTAATTGACCGAACGCGCGATGAACGCGATGAATGCCGGCGCCGCCGCCGCCGCCGCGGGAGAGCTAATCCTCTCATGGCTCTGTGCCCTGCCCTGACCTGCTCTTACTGGATGCACGTTGAGCGGCCAGAACGTGAGGCTCGGTAGGATGAGGATTGCTCGCCGAGCAATCCAGACCGCCGTGCGTGCCTTTCTCCGCCACCGCGACCGCTCGCTGCAGCCTCGCGCGCGCAGTCCGGCGACGCGGAGGTGCGAATTCCTCGGAAAAATATCGATTTATCGTCGCGCCGTCTCGTCACCGGCGGCGACAGCGTCCTTGTTTCCTGCCTTTTCTCCTCTTCTCTTTTCTCCTCTACTCTTTCCCCTCCCCCCTTCCTCCGCTCCCCGATCGAGCGTAACGCACCGTCGTCTGTCTCACGCGCATTTGCATTTTCCATTTCACTAGCGTCGCGGAAGAGCGGTCGCAAGGCGCAGCGCGCGCGAGCGATCTCGTCGATCTCGCGTAAGAACACTGAATTACACCTCATTATCGTCGTGATGAGATAGCGTGCGCGCTCGCGCACTTCTATGCGTTAATAACGGATAATCAATGGCCGAGCGACGCGATGCTGATTCATAACCCGGCTCGGATCGGTGTCGAACAAGATCGCGAGAGGAGATCTTAATTTTCGAAACATAATAAACACACGTCGGAGGAAAGTATAGGCGCTTTGAGGTTTTTAAGCGGCCTAATGATTATCATCGCGGAGGAGAGGTCGCGCGGAATGACGGTGAAATAACGAAGCACGATTCCTCTTCGAGGAATCTCCGACAACGCGGAGACGCGCGGCCAAGTGGCGGAAAAGAAATATCAATTAAATATTATCGATTTTTCTCTCCTTTTCCTTCTCTCCTTCTCTCTTTCCCTCTTTCTCCCTTCCGACCGGCTCGGCCGTACAGCTCGGCTGATTAAAGGTGGCGGCACTTTTCCGCTTTTCTTCTTCGTCGAGGAAAAACGTTGCAACCTTTAATCAGCCGACTGTACGTACAGGTAATAAAACCCGACATCGTGATATTTCCAAGTGTGACGTTTTCATGCGCTCACAGGATCCTCCCGTTCCCTCCCTCTCCGCGTGCGGCAGGAGGAAAAAAGAGAAAAGAAGGAGAAAGAAGAAGAAAAAGGAATCCGGCAAGAAGAAGTCCCACGCGGACGCGCGGCGGATTTGCATCTAACGAAGCGCACTTAACGTCAAATATTTCACGACGCTGCAACGCCCATGCCTGCTGATGCGAGTCGCTTTAATGTCGATCCTCGCAGGCAGAGGCGAGGAGAAGGCATCGGCGAAATGCATAATAAACGCGCCGCGCGAGTCGCGCAGCCGCGGGACGCGCACGTTCGTCCTCCCGGCAAATCGCGAGCGGTAAATTCAATGCGAAATTATTTATCGGCGCCGAAAGTAATCGTCGTACGCACACCCGGGCATACGAGGGCGAGACACGGGCGAGGGGAGGGGAGAGACATGCGAGGAGAGAGAAAGAAAAAAGGAGAAAAAGAAGCCGACGTTACGCAACATTCCGCTCGCGCAGCGGCCGCGGAGAAATATAATTCCGCGCGGCGCGGAAAAACAGGTTTCTTTTCGGCGATGGGCAGGAACATAAAGCGACGATTATTTTCGCCGGCGACCGCGCGAAAACGCAGAGACCAGTTGCGGTTTCTCGGAGAAGAAAAAGAAGATATGCGATCTCCGGGTTGGAAAGTGGCCGGCTTCGGGTTTCGACGTTGTCGCAGCGTTTCCGTCGCCGAGAAACAACGGCGAGAAGAGGGTTTCCCGTGCGACGGAAAATCGCGCGTTCGCGCGCTTTCTTCGCAAGGATTCGCGGGGAAAAACGACGCGGGTCGCGTTACGAGCGGTAATATCGATATTTCGCACGACCTCGTGGTCGAATCGCGAGTCGAGCGTCGGACAGTCGAACTGCCGAAGCTCGGCGCGTCCGATGCCTAGATTAATGAAAAATAAGCAGGCGCGTTCATTAAGAGACTGAAGGAAAGAGAACGTGTTTAATTAAAGTTATGGAGGAATGGTAATCACACGCGATCGTCGAACAAAAGTATTCCGTGGCATACGTCGGATCGACGGCAGAAGCGGAAATGAAGAAATAAATAATAAGCGCGCGCGCGCGCTCGCGGATCATGATTTATCTCTGCGCGCTCGCGAGCGCGAAGCGGCCGGAGATGGAATCGCAATATTTCTCATCATTCACATGCGCGTTTCCCGCTTTTCATCGGGGAACGGGGGAGACGTCTAGCGACCGCGGTCGTGTCTCTTGATTGCGGATGAAAACCGACGAAGAGAATGTCGTCCTTACGATCTGTATCGTCCCCGAGACAACTAATAAGCTCGCTCATTTCTCTATCTCTCTCTCTCTCTCTCTCTCTCTCTCTCTCTCTCTCTCTCTCTCTCTCTCTCTCTCTCTCTCTCTCTCTCTCTCTCTCTCTCTCTCTCTCTCGCCGTGAAGAGACATTCCTCGGTGTCATTTCAGGTAAATCAATAGACTGCCCACACACATGTGCGCACACACACACACACACACACACACACTCGTACATAATCTATTACGTGATTTAAAATACGCCGCGAGCGCGCAACACCAAACATAGTCGCGTGTAATCAGCGATGGGACTTGGCGCGCTTCTCCTCAGTTCCGTGTAATTTATATCCGATCGTCGGTCCAATTCCAATTAGAGAAATAATTACGAGACGTAATTATCCGAGAGCGACTCGCTCCGCAATGATGATCATTATCGCGCACGCAGGCGCGGGGGGCGGTCGAGGGGACGCGATGCCCGATATCTGCATTCTACGTAATTAGTCGATAACGATTCGCAGCCGATTCGACGGGATAGCGGCGCGAAGCTATCGGACGACTTTCGCGCCGCTCGCGTTGACTGCCTGCCGATGCGCTTCTCGCGGCCGAGCGAGCGAGAGCATCCATTTGAGTCCATTTGACACAGTTCCTCTCTCATGAGCCCCGTCGCGATGTAACATATTACCGCGATGAACACGCGTGATGTACGCCGCGAGCGTGCGGTAATCGCGTGTCAAATAATCGCGACCGACCTGGCCGACCGGCCGGCTCGCGATTCGCACACAATGGCGATCCAGATACGTGCGGCACCCTCGCACGCACCCTTGCTTGCGCTATGCGCGACCTAACACGACAAGATATGAACAAGAGAGCGAGAGAGAGAGAGAGAGAGAGAGAGGCTATCGTGTCGGGAGGCTTCGTGGCGCCTTGTCCTCCCGATCGCCGCCACGTCAGGTTCTAAGGCAAGGTAAGACGCGCTGATGAGGCAAGGTAAGACAGGACAAGACAAGGCAAGGCGAGACACAGCAAGGTGAGGTAAAACACAAGGCACGGCACGGCACGGCACAGCGCGGCGCAGCAAGGGAGCCGCCCCTCCGTGTGCATGGGGGGGGTGGGGGCCCTCTACTCGCGCCTCGCGGGGTCCCAACGGGCCGTTCAAGAATCATCTTATTAGACCCACACTATATAAAGGCAAGGTGCCAGCATGCCGAGCAGTTACGTACTGACTTGATTCACAGTCGTGCGTCGTGCAGAGTGCCACACACGAGTTGCGGACGATTATCAGCAGCGCAATTCCGCAGAGCCTGTTCGTACACGCATGTACACGCACACGCGTCAATCACCAATCCCGTCGAACGTATCGCACCGTATCGTCTCACCTTACCCTGCCTGTGACAACCGCCGTGGTCGCTTAAGGGCTCGCGGCGAATCGACGACACACGGTGATATTTCATTTGCGTGCTTCACAAGTGGAGGCGATCCTCGAGGTCGCGACGAGATCACGGCAACACGGGGTGTCTCTCTTGTCTCCTCCGGGCGAGTCAGTGCACGCTTTCGGCGGGAAAAAGCCACCGAATCGCTCGCTAAATTGCCGGCCGACGTATGTGTGTTTGTTGTGTCGCGCGGCGGTTATCGTGGAATTGTCCGATTGCTGAGGTCCCGTCTCTCTCTCTCTCTCTCTCTCTCTATCAATGGCTGTCGCTTGAAACTTATCACGCGCGAAATACTCAGATTTCAATTCAGAGCTACACGCGAGTTTTCCGATCGAATCGAGACCGGAGATATCACGTTGTGCGATTTCATTGAAACAGATGTAGCTTTGATGAGAAATCTGAGTATCCCACATGGGACAAGTTGCGAGTGACAATTATTGATACAGGCTTAAATGCCCGACGCTGATTCTTCGTTCTCTCTTTCTCTCTCTCTCTCTCTCTCTCGACGATATATTCACGATACGAATAATTTATTGTAGATCTGTCGAGTTTCGTTTACGGTAGATTCAAGTTTCATCTGTTATCGCTAGGCATGATTTGCATTTCGTTTGCGTACGTCTCTCGAGTTTTCTTCTCTCGCATTGTGTCAAAGAGTTTGCAAATAAATGAATGAAAAAATATATGATACATTCGGATGATTCGGACTCAGATTGTAGGAATCCAACACGTCGGCTATCGTTTGAGACTTGCAATTTTCTCCGCGCGAGAGACGCGCTATGAAATATCACCGTCGTCGCGTGTAACTTGTCGTAAGACGGATTACCGCACGCATTATTCGACATTATTCAACGTACCTTTCTCCTCACTCACCTTTCTCACACACTCATCCGCCTGACGAGACGACCATAGAGCACCCTCCGCTGCTCCGCATTCGTTCAAGCGAGAGAGGTTCCCGCACTCGCAGAAACGTTAACTCGAAACCTTTTGCAGTGCGCGCGTTGATTCCCTCGAAGGATCGTCTCGTCGTTGTTCCTGCTGGCGAGTCAGCGCGGTCTTCAACACGTCGACCTGCATCATTTCACATCGCAACACGATGTATTATCTGCAGGTACGTTTTCAGACAGCAGATTTGTTCTTCATAGACGCCCAAATTGTCTCCCAAACTGTCTCGTAATTTCTCGATCTTTCCACCGCCTAGGCGTTATCGTGGAATAAACGATACGAACAAATGAAATTGTTTACTCCCATCAAGTACCATTATCTTTTGTTATCATTAAATTTCTCTTCCCTCCTCCTAGCGAGATGCTACTTTGTGCGTAGCTATGAAGAACAAGAACTGAACTGTGCGAACTGTGTGTGAGCAGACGAGCGGCGGGGCAAAAGTTACAAGTTATCGCGCGTTAGAGAAAGGATCAATTTTACCACGTCCTTTCCTCATACTCATACACACACGCCGCTAATTAAAGGCGAGATTTTTGCGAGGACATGAAAGATCCCCGAGCACATTCGGCCGATACGCGTATTCCACCGGCGCTAATTAACCGGCGTCGGCGCGTCTCCGACGTCGCGCGACGTTCCGTTAGATGCAATTGCTCGCGAGCGTTGCGGCAAGGCGCGAGTCCCGCCCACGAGTTCCGTTAGCACATCCGCACAATTAAAAATACAGAAATATCATTAGCCTGAGAAGCGCTAGAAGACGGGTTCTCGCTTAGAAGCTCTTGCAAACGACCCTCCCGCGGAGAAGAAGAAGACCGTTCCCGGGGGCGGCTCATCGACGAATTGATGGATGATCGGATCACCGCGACGAATACGAAGCGCCGCGCGCTTCATCATTTTCTTTCAACACGTCTCCTCTCTCTCTCTCTCTCTCTCTCTCTCTCTCTCTGTGTGTATATTATAATTATAAACGACAGCTTGACGATGATCCACCGCGACAAGAACCGGCGCGATAATTCAGCGTGATAAAAACATTCCTAGGCGACGATCGTGTCGTATCGTAAGCTATTCTTGCGCGAGTCGCTCGACACAAGCCTGCTGATATACGCCGGGCAATCGGACACTCAATTCTCAATTATAAACGCCGATTACCGTTGTCGATTAACGTCGATCGAGCATCGGAAATGTGAGCGAGTCACCCGGGGTGAAGTGTGACGGAGGACGGGTGGAGGAGGATGGACGAGAGATGGACGAGGAGGAATAAAACCTGTCCTGTCCCGTCGCGTTTGGCTCTTACCACGATTACTCCTCCGCTCTGCCCCGCGCGACCGACCTTTACGCCATTCGTAAAACTCCGCCACGGGTTAATCCTCCACGCACGCGCGGGGCGTTGATAGAACGCGATTGTGTTATAAATCACGTGTGTGCGCCGCGTCGCGCCGCCGCTTGATTCTTCATCATCATCATCATCATCATCATTATCATCATCATCATCATATCGGCTTGATTAATCGAGCGGTCTCTTATCCGCGGCAAATCGATGATCGCCGCCGCGTCTCCTCCTCCGACACCGCCGACACGCACGCGAGACCGCGGACAGTTAACTAGCTGTCGATCATCGTCCCGCGAAGTGCCACGCCGCGGGATAAAACTCCTCTTCTTCTTCTTCTTCTTCTTCTTCTTCTTTTTCTTTTTCTTCTTTGTCCGCCGCAGCGAGAAGCGGTCGGATCTCGCTCTCTCGAGCAGAGAGCGTCCGCTTCACTCTTTCAAAGGCGCTTCCCCGGATCATCGTAGCTCTCTGAAGTTGCTCCTTTTTTAGCTTCCATTTCTCCTCCTCGCTGTCCCTCTCAAGTGAATCTGTGTAAACATCTCGTGCTCTTTGCAATATGTCTATAATGATTCGATTGAATCATCGCAATTGCCAGCCAATTCGCTCACGCAAGAACGCAGTCTTCCTGCGAGCAAATAAAGGCTCGGTGAATTAAAATCAGCCGCGAGACCGAATCATCGCACGCCGTTGTCATTAGCGCGTCTCATTATTCTCGTCAAACTGTGAAGAAAAGCGATCGCGAGATGGCCGGTGAGATCATCGGCCATGCATAACGGCATAATGGACAGCGCGCGTCGATGCGCGCCCACGCCGAGTACATTGAATCGATCGGTACCGGATGACTTAAGGATGCAACGCGCAATGATATCGTTTCGTAATCTCCCGAGTGCGCGCGCGCATGCATTAACGCATAATGCGTTAATGAGACGTTAACTAACAAGTTTGCAATCGCACTCGTCAATCGTTCGAGTGCATCTCACTCGAATGCGGCCGACCGGCCGCGGCTTCTCTCTCCCTCTCTCTCTCTCTCTCTCTATCTCCCTCTCCCTCTCTCTCTCTCTCTCTCTCTCTCTCTCTCTCTCTCTCTCTCTCTCTACCACGCAGCTTTTCCACGTTTCGACCGACTACTGGAACGAAGTTGCAACACATGTCAAGTCTTGCACCGCCAGCAGTCTTACATACTCTTTCTTTCTCTTTTTCTCACCCGCTTTCCTCTCGTCTGTTTATATTTAATATTTTATGCATACCTCCTCTCCCCCCTCTCTCTCTATTTTCTCTTTCTCCGCCTATACTTCTCTCTCTCTCTCTCTCACTCTCTCTCTCTCTCTCTCTCTCTCTCTCGGCGTGGGTTGCGCACCGAGAGCGTTGCAATCGAAGTACAGGGTTAAGAGCATAATACAAAGGTCTCCACTGTCGCAATAGAGCACAGAGCACGCCAAGCTGCTTCTCCGAACACGTTTGTTGGCGTAATACCGCCAACATTATTGATTCGGTCTGCTCCTCTTTCACGCCGATTCTCTTTCAGGTCGTCGTCGACCTAATAGCCGGTCGCGCGGCGACGATGCCGCGTGTCAAACGCGGTCTGTTATTACACCGTGAAAAAAAGGCCCTCTCCCGAGATAAGGATCCCGCGATTGCTATCGCCTGCGAAAGCACGTTGCGAATCGCGCATATGCGCGTGCGCGCGCGCGAAAGAGGATGTCCTTTAAACCAACTGGTACCAATTTTTTTTTAAAACAACGGGTGAACGCGCGCGAATCTCTGCGCGGCCACTCGTACCGCGACTTTCGTTACTTTTGCCATTAACGGATCGAGCTCCGAGACGTGAGAAAGGCACGTCGCAAGCGCAAAGTTGCGTTAGGTTGGTAAACGGAAACTGTACTGGTCTAATTAGACGGATTGATTTCAACTGTTATATAATGATAAACGATTATTTGTATTAAGACATAAATGTGAAAGAGAGAGAAAAAAGTCAGGCACGCCACACGCGACGGATACACGTTAGAATTATTCTGTCGGATCGACGTTTCATCGTCATCAGACTATAATTATTCCCATCAATCTCGTCGAAAGGCACAGCGCGGGAGATATGTTGCACCGCGCGAAAAATATCGCTGTCTGACGTCCTGACGTACTAAACATCAAGCGCCTTGGAACGCGCCTCCGACGCGGAGAGACGGAGAGATGGAGAGAGACAGACCCTTGATTTATTAAAATTACACGCTCATAACGCGCGCGCACGGCAAGGCTCGCATTTGTAACTGATAAACTACGCGACAAATGTCAGTTTACGCGCGAGGACGATTGTGGCGGTATTCAACACCGGATCTGAAAGTTGAGAAACATCTCTGTCGCGTGAATGCCGTTAACTTTCGATCGAACAAGCCGACTGAAACGTCGATCGATGATATATCTCTGCTCGAAATTCGTTCAATAAATGTCAATAAATAGGAAAAAAGGATTCACCGCGACATCCGAGAACGTGACAAGATAAATTAAATAATAAGAGAAATATAGAGAAAGAAAGAAGCAAAGAAGCTAATCGTTAGTCGAAATTCTATCGTAATATATACAAAAAAGACACAAAAAATATATAATATATAAATGTAAATAATGATTACTGTAATTGATGGCGAACGCAGCGGCGATATCTACATAGTACACAGTCCAAGCGAAAGATCCTGCGCGTATCGGACGCGCGGCGTGTCACGATGAAATCAAAGCTCGACGGAAACTCACGTATCCGGCTACATTAACCTGTCGCATAAACCTACTAAGTCGACCTTATTCTTACACTTGCATAAAGAGAAGAAATAAGCGGTCGTGCTTCTTTCGCGCAGGCCGATACTGACTTTGATCCACACGAACCTTGCTCCGCTTTCTTCGCGAGTTTCGGACACTCGCGAAGAAAGCGGAGACTAATGAGGAAATGTTATACTTGAAACATACGGCTCTCGAAATGATTTCTTATTGTTTTCTTCTTCCTCTTCCCGGCGATCGCTTCTTCTGCCGTGCAGCTGGCCGTGCTCTGCGTGACGGTAGTGAGCGTTATCGGCGATTTACCACCGGGCACCCGGCGCAACACGTATCTGCCGCCCGAGCCGACCAAGGGCTACACGTATCCGAAGCCGCCGGTGACGTTCCCTACGCGTCCGTCGCAGACGTTCCCGACGCATCCGACGCAGACGTTCCCGACGCGTCCGACGCCCACCTACACGGTCCCCACCAGACCGAGCGGAACCTTCCCGACGCAGAACACGGGCTATCCCACTAGACCCACCAGGCCTTTCCCAGATTACCCTGGTCAACCGACCGGCGTCAACGGGAATACTATCGGCCCTGGCGTAAGCATACCCAATTATAACACATAATAAATAATAAAAATACAATAAAAGCGATAGAGCTCGAATTTGATGTGCAGAAAAGGACTAAACATGCATCATTATCGAAGTAAATATTTGTATGGTCCTTATACCTCATTACCTGCATTTTCGTTATATATAACCGAATCTTTTTTACTTTATTTTTTTTGTCGTGCAACACACACTTGTGACTCGAATGACGAGAGGGATGACCGGTGAAGAGATATGAGATTTCCTCCTTTCAGCATGATCATCATCATCACGAGCCCGGCATGCCTTTCGATTTCAATTACGCCGTGAAGGAGGACGCCTTTGGCAACGATTACTCGCATAACGCCATCAGCGACGGTGACATCGTCCGCGGCGAGTACAGGGTGCAGCTTCCGGACGGCAGGACGCAGGTCGTGCGCTACACCGCGGACTGGCAGCACGGCTTCAGCGCCCAAGTCTCCTACGACGGGACACCGCGCTTCGACGTCCCTCGGCCGGGCGGTAACTTCAATCGAGGCTATTAGCTTTAACGTCGAGAGCCTAGGGTTGTTCAATTATCGTTATCGAGAATCAAAACTGCAGCACGACGAATCGTCACGCATACCTGAAATAGCGATATCCTACATGAAAAAAGAAAAACAAAAAAAAAAGAAAGAAAGAAATGATAAAGAGAGAAGACGTCGCAGACGGCAAGAATGTATTCTGAGAAAAAAATAACAGCCCATGAGGAGGACAAACGCCCGCGCTATAAATTTTACAATCACGCCCCAACAATATCGGTATCATGCATCTTGCACATCAGTATGATCCAATCTATGAATCGCGACCTCTTCCCTTCCTTCTTTTTTTACAAACTATCAAGTATATAAAACAAAAAAGGTGTACTTATTCGAATTATATTTAGTCTATGCTACGTAATTATCGCCATTTTTATCTCGGGTCATCTCGAAGACAGATTAGCTCGCGAACCGTGAAAAATTGAGCTGCATTAAATGATATATTAAACTTTCGCGATAAAATCGTGATATTAATTGCACTGCTTTGTGATAAAAATTACGTAGAACAGAAAGGATCAAAAGGACAATAGATGCGAAATAGACATATTTTCCTTTTGTCAGTACCATCTTGCTTCGCTTTGAATACAGAAAGTTTTTTTGTTTTATCTTCAATACGTCGAATTAAGACTTCTTAATGATGATAGTGTAGACAAGCATCGTTTATCAATATTATGCAGATGAAAGAATTCATGATTGTGAGTGAACTATGCAATAAAGCAACTGTAAACAGTTATGTTCAGTCACATACATTTGTATAAAACTTAAAAATAGTATTAATATCATCTTTTTCCTGAAACTACCGGATGTATACGAATAGAAATATCTCTATAATCAACCCTAGTTTCAACTGATAAATATAATATAAATGAATATATTAAGAAAAGAGAAATACTCTATTAATGTCATATGTTCAACTCAATAAAATCTGTATACCATACCAAATTTACCTGTTATTTATTTTATGCCAACAGACACCTAATTTGTTTTGACATCGTATATATTTTATAACGTTATAAAAAAAACGCATGATATTTGAATGCAGGAAATGTAACATGCTTTTCGTTACCAAGGACTATTAATTGGAAAAGACAGGATTTGGTATATCATATATATATATATATATATATATATATATATATATATGTATATATATACATATAATATTGGTAATAAGTAAATATTGGTAAATATATATAATCCTCCAAAATATATGCACATATACATATATTTATAACAATCTGTATAAATAATTTATATATTTATATATTTATGAATACCCATACAAATACGCTTCCGTGTATGCTCTCATCATATCTTCCGAATTTCTACGAATTCTTCTGCCAACTGGCTCCAGATCATTGTAGCACTTGGTGAACACTCTCTCTATGGCTGCTTCAGCTACCTCTGGCTTTACCTTGTGCACAGCCATTATTGACATCTTAGCTTTATTCTTAACACAATTCTGCACAAATAATATTGCAGGTTGGTGATTATGTTGTGGCAAATATTAGAAATTATCATTTCACGATAAATTAATTTCTCAATTATTCACCTGATGCGTCGCTTTTATATTGATAGGTGATGAAAATCCTTGAAACCATGAACCCATGAAACTACAATGACCAATATTAGCTGCTCTAATTTCTGTGCAGGCCAGATGATCAATATTCTTCAGGTCCAATTTGTTGCGGCAGTAGTCAAACATATGAATCATTTCATGTAGGAGAGCAGCCTGTACCAGTCCTTTACTACCAGCTGAATTTTGGCAGATAACAACCTACAATAACCAAATTTTATTATTATAACATATTACATATTATACAATAAGTAAATTTTGATAAATATGTTTACCTGATTTAATTCTGAGTCATATCCACCCGTTACTAGTGTATTACATACTTCACAGGAAATATGCCTTCGAATATCTATTTCACTAAAATATTAATAATTAATAACTTTTTATTTTGATAAAGCAACTGATTGTAGATTTTAGATTGCAGGAAGCAAGAAAAAAATAAGCTACAAACCATCCTGAACTTTTCAATGCTGCCATCATGAGTTTTACTATAGGACCTGCAAAATAAAAAACAATAAGGATAAGTCAATTATAATTTGATTAATTTAAGAAACTTTTTCCAAAAAATAAACACTGCAAAGTAGGGGTTATCATATTTACTCACTATTTTTTACACAATGATATACATTGGCTTCGCATCTGACATTGTCCAGTGATTCTCTTTCTGCAAAACCAAACATTGTTTTGATCCAGCTTTGTTTCAGTTTTGTTCCTTTTCTCTCAGGATACATATCAGCTCCCCATACATGATCAACAGGTAATTTATCTGATACTTTTTCTCCAGGACTGCTGTCATCTTGTTTCTTTTCCTCTGTCTTTTCATTCTTGACTGTCATCGCCGTAACAAAAGTAGCTGAAGTAATTTGCCGTACTATTTGATTAATCTCATTAATACAGTACAAATCTCTTTAGTGACTTAAGGTTATGACACGGTTATGTCACGCTTTTACGTTAAAAAAGAGAGATCGTAAGGAAGTGCAGAAGATGCAACTGAGAAAAACAGATTTTAATTAAAGTAAATCGATATTACCAAGCCGCTAATATTAATTAATCAATTTATAGAACTACAATCTGCAGTAACTTTAGAAGAAATAATTTTAAAATTTTGACTTATAATCATAATGATGTATGAATATCTATGGTCTGTTGTTTGCAGCTGCACTGCTGAACTAGTGCAATAAGCTAGAATGATAAAACCTATATTTGTCTCACTTTAACTTATTGCACCAGTTCAACAGTGCAGCTACAAAGAACAGACCAATAGATGTGATGCGTTTAAAACAAATGCACAACTTTTCGATAAACATGTTAGAAAATAAATTTCCCTATTTGACGTAATGCTCTAGTGAAAACAGCGCAAGCAATTTAAGGGCCGGTTGTTTCAACTTCTCGGTAAATTAACCGATAGTTAAATCATATATTTGTCTTTGTTTTTCCTTCAACTTGGACAAAGACAGACACATGATTTAACTGTCAGTTAACTTACCAAGAAGTTGGAACAATCGGCCCTAATTCATATATATCTAGCATTTATATAGGCTGCGTTCCGAAATTCACTGTCAGTACTGAAAATATATAATTTGTGTCACGTATACTATAGATTTTCAGTACTGGCAGTGAATTTTGGAACGCAGCCTTAATCTATGATCACCCGGAGCAAACCCGGGCTGATTGCAAATATGACCAGAGAGGAACGTAAGAGCGGCCAACACGGTGTTTTCGACGATACCGATTTTCTGCACTGGGAAAGGGCGCCATCTGCATCCATTTTGAGAGGGGAACTACGATGCTACATCCACTTTCAGGTTTCGGCGGTAAAACCTATATGTGGCGGCAGATCGTGCTACATTCATTTTTAGGCGGTTTATATCCGTGCTACAACCATAATAGCGTACTTGACAAGCACGATCTCGCACATTGTCACACGTTTATAACATGAATTAACATGTTAACATGTGCAAAAAAAAGAATTGACATTGTGTATGATTAATATCATGAAGATCATACGAAGTGTCCGGTAATTAGCTGCCAACCCGAAGTGTGAGGGTAGATTGGGACAAACATAAAAGTCCCATACCATTTTGCGAGATTCGCGATAATTATCGAGTTATTAATGACAGAAATCTGAGGAGTAAAAGCGCGCCGACATAGATGATTCGAAAAGCGTTGCAGCTGCTCGGGGCAGCGATCATGAATCTTTCCCTAGCGTGAACTAATAAAAAGTGAAAGACTTCTGTGAATCAGTGAAAAATGAAAAATTTTATATGAATTTGTGAAAATCGAAACGTTTCACACGACAATTGAGTCGTTCAACATGGCAGTTGCGCGTTCTGGATAATTCAATGAATACCAAAGAAATCAAAATGATCAAAATAATAATGTCCGTGTAGTCCGAAGGATATTACACGGACACGCAAAATCCGTTTGATATAATATCAAAAGAAAATGTTTCAAAATATGTATGTACAGGTAATATAAACCTTATGCACCGACGAGATATACTACAAAGACTGAAGGCCTTACGGGATTTAGCGTGCCAGAGAAATTTCCCTGGTGAGGCACCCAAGCGAAAGAGACCGTCTCGCATTTAGCGCAGTAAGATTTAATGGAAACTAATACTTTTCAATCCTTTTCCTCGAATCAAAAAGATTCAGAATTCAGACATATTCAAAATGTCAATACTTTTTAATACATTTCAATACATTTTATACAGGGAAGCAGGACGAAGGGAATGGGATGCGGGCAACGATACATCATGCGTCTTCAGATGTATCAAATCGTTTATTATAGAGGAGAGTTTGATACGGCAACATGTATTCGAATATTTAATCGTCCCATGGACCACTTATATATAATAAAAAAGAAAAAAATTAACGCGAATAAATGAACGATTCGTATCAATTTTTCCTTTTCTTATAGAGCAATGAAAGAGTAAATCAGTATCGAAAATCGAATAGCGATTAATACCATAAATCAGTGTCAGAAAATTGTCCAATGACAATTTGTTCTCATTTTTCAGGTAATTACCGCTGTAATTTACACAATAAATTAACTCTATTAAACAAACGATCCGTATCAATTTTTCTTCTCTTATAAAGAAATGAGAGAATAAATCAGTACCGAAAACCGAATACCGATCAATACCTAATTTTTTCATCAAATTAACGAGGATTAATGAACGATTCGTATTAATTTTCTGTTTTCTTATAGAGAAATGAAAGAGTAAATCAGTACCGAAAACCGTAACCGAATATCGATTAATACCATAAATCAGTGTCAGAAAATTGTCCAAATGCAATGACAATTTGTTCTCATTTTTCAGGTACTTACCCCTCTAATTTACTGAACAAACTAACTCGGTTAAACAAACGATGCGTATCAATTTTTCTTTTCTTATAAAGAAATGACAGAATAAATCACTAACGAAAACCGAAGACCGATCAATACTTAATTTTTTCATCAAATTACCGCGGATAAATGAACGATTCGTATTAATTTTCTGTCTTCTTATAGAAAAATGAAAGAGAAAATCAATACTGAAAATCGAATATCGATTAATATCATAAATCAGTGTCAATAAATTGTCCAGGTGCAATGACAATTTGTCCTCATTTTTCAGGTACTTACCCCTCTAATCTTATTCAACAAATTAACTCGGATGAACGAACGATTCGTATCAATTTTTTGTCTTATAAAATTTTTTGTCTTATGAAACAATGAGAAAATAAATCAGTTCCGAAAATCGAAGGCCGTTCAATATCTATTTTTTCAGCAAATTAACGCAAATAAATGAATAATTTGTATTAATCTTTCTTTCTTTTATAGAATAAATCAAAGACTAAATCATTATCGAAAACCGGATATTGATTAATACTATAAATCAGCGTTAGAAAATTGTCTAAGTGCAATGACAAGTTGTTTTCATCTTGCAGGTACTTACCCCACTAGTTTACTCAACAAATTAAGTCGGATAAAAGAACGATTCGTATCAATTTTTATTTTCTTATAAAGAAATTAGAGAATCAGTCAGTACCGAAAATTGAAGATCGATCAATATTTAATTTATTCATCAAATTAACGCGGATTAATGAACGACTCGTATGAATTTTTTTTCTTACAGAGAAATGAAAGAGTAAATCAGTACCGAAAACCGAATATCGATCAATACCGTAAATCAGTGTCAGAAAATTGTCCAAGTACAATGACAATTTGTTCTCATTTTTCAGGTATTTATCCCTCTAATTTACTCGACAAATTAACTCGAATAAACGAATGATTCGTATCAATTTTTATTCTCTTATAAAGAAATTAGAGAATCAGTCAGTAGCGAAAATTGAAGACTGATCAATATTTAATTTATTCATCAAATTAACGCGGATAAATGAACGATTCGTATTAATTTTCTGTTTTCTTATAGAGAATTGAAAGATTAAATCCGCACCGAAAATAGAATATCGAATAATACCGTAAATCAGCGTCAGAAATTTGTCCAAGTGCAATGACAATTTGTTCTCATTTTTCAGGTACTTACCCCGCTAATTTACTCAATTAAAATTTACAAATTAACTCGGATAAACAAACGATTCGTATCAATTTTTTTCGTCTTTTAAATAAATGAGAAAATAAATCAGTACCGAAAATCGAAGACCGATAAATACTTAATTTTTTCATCAAATTAACGCGGATAAATGAACCATTCATATTAATTTTCTGTTTTCTTACAGACAAATGAAAGAGTAAATCAGTACCGAAAACCGAATATCAATTAATATCATAAATCAGTGTCAAAAAATTGCCCACGTGCAATGACAATTTGTTCTTATTTTTCAGGTACTTACCCCTCTAATCTTATTCAACAAATTAACTCGGATAAACGAACGATTCGTATCAATTTTTTTTGTCTTATAAAAAAATGGGAAAATAAATCAGTACCGAAAACCGAAGGCTGATCAATACTATAAATCAGTGTCAAGAAAATTGTCCAAGTGCAATGACGAGTTGTTTTCATCTTGCAGGTACTTATCCCACTAATTTACTCAACAAATTAAGTCGGATAAAAGAACGATTCGTATCAATTTTTATTCTCTTATGAAGATATTAGAGAATCAGTCAGTAACGAAAATTGAAGACCGGTCAATATTTAATTTATTCATCAAATTAACGTGGATAAATGAACGAGTCGTATCAATCTTTTTCTTGTAAAGAAATGAAAGAGTAAATCAGTACCGAAAATCGAATATCGATCAATACCAGAAATCAGTGTCAGAAGATTGTCCAAGTGCAATGACAATACGCCCTCATTTTTCAGGTACTTACCCCTTTAATTTATTCAGCAAATTAACTCGGATATAAACGAACGATTCGTATTAATTTTTTCTTCTCTTATAGAGAAATGAGGAAGTAAATCGGTACCGGAAATCGAATATCGATTAATATCGTAAATCAAAATTTATATTGCTGTTTAATTCCATCGTCGCAAAAGATTTGACGTTTTCTCTATCCTAGTCTTAACTTGTAGAAAATTTGGTACTCATCTCTGTTTGACAAAATTACGTCGGACTTTCTGTACTAATTAATATAAAAAATTTTTTTTCATTCTTATTTTCTCTACGTCTAATATTTTAATACCGAATCTGTCGAAATGAACAGGCCTGCAGAAATCCTGGCAAGACGTTTCTCTCTCTTTCTCGCTCTCCTCTCTCTTCGTCTCTGAATCGCCGCTGACGATCGAAAACCGCAAGCGGAAAGTAACGAAAATTTATTCAACAAAATTTATTCCAACTAAAACGTTCTCCGTGTTATTTTTTAAGCGTTGGATAAATACCGATCCGGCGTTTTGTCAAATATCTAACAAAAGTATCTCTGTTTTTTTCTTGCCGACATTCAAATCGATAGTTTTCTACAAGTTAGAATTTGATAAAAAAAAAGTATTTCCCGAGTCGAAATATTAATTCTACATTGATCCTGCAAATTGCATCCAATTTGAAAAATCAATGCAGAATATCTAGATGCGCAATAGTGAACAAGCTTTGTCCTACCTGAACGTTACATCTGGCTACTCTCGCAGTCTCGCCCATGATGAGTCTTCAACAGCGACGTATTCCGCAGTTATTTAA